CACACACACACACACACACACACACACACACACACCCACACACGGTCTGGACCTACCACCTACAATTTGGTGGTCTTCATTCTCCTCTGGGTCAGATTCTGGCTCCAACATGTAAGGCTGAATGAACAAGTCTTGTTCACATCTTTTAATTCATTTGTAAATAAAACATTTCTACGCAGCTATATAGTCCTAAACCGCTCTATAAAACTGGAATGAACCGATCTGGAAGCTGCATTCAAAGAGACAGCCTCAAAACAAGTTGATCTGAGACACGCCTCAGAAAAGGGGCGGAGCTTGTGGAGTTACACTAAGGAGGAATTCAGACCAAAGTATTGCAGTACCAATTTGTATAGACCCCATGAACGATTTAAATATGAAAAAGGGTTTAAAACTTTGTCTACTTTAAAACTGATYGGTGAGATTATTAAAAAACAAAACAAGTGACAAATATATTGTTGCTCAGACGTTAAAGTTAATGTAAAACTAAACTATTAGTGACTAGCTTTATGTGTTTAGAAAGTCTTGGAAAAACTGTTTTCTGTTTTTAAAATAATCTTGGAAAAACAACTAAATATAAAGCAGAGTTTATTCAACTTGAGTGACCAACAAAGTGACCTAATTTCCAGTGAGATTAATTAGTGTGGCTGTTTTGCTCAGTGACATTTAAACAGTAGCAGAATAACAGTGTTTCTGCTGTCATTTGGCCTATTTATATTTAATTAAATATCATTAGTATTTCATTAATTTTTTTTTTAAAAACTAACCATTTTAATTAGTGTCACCAGTGATAAAAATACCCCCTTTTTTTATAATGAAATAATCCAAACATTGTAAATGTTTGATAAGAGGCATGAAGTTTTGATGCATTGTTAAAGCTAGTTTTGTTCCGGTGATTAGTCTAAAGCTGTTCCTCTTTATAAATATTAATTTTCCCATCTTTCCCAGCCGGAGCCGGAGGCGTCCAGCACAGGTGTTTAGTGAATAACAAGGAGGACAACCAGCTAACTGCCGCATGAGCGGGAAGTTGCAGTAATGATCGTTGTCCCCAGTGCACCCTGGGTAATAATTATCCCCCGTTTGTCATAATAGCAGGTAAATAGTGGAGCGCAGACGCGGTACGCCTCGCAGTAGGGCGCCAGCAGCAGCTGCGGTCCACAACAATTTTTCACTCGTTTTTATTAAGCGAGCCGCCTTCCTGCCGTCCTCTGCGGCTCATCGATGTTTACACGAAAAAAATAACAGCAAGAAAAGCAGAAAGGCCACGACGTGGCCGTGCTGTAAAAACAGATTCAAGTTCAGCTCTAAGAGGTGCCTGTGATTATTTATAAAGTTGTCAACATTGTTGTTTACAAGTCTCCGTTTGCTGATTGCTCGTTGGGGAAGGAGGGGAATCGATGGTGGATTATTTACTGCATCCTAATTTCATAAAATGTTATTGCAAATACAACGTTTTTGCTGCTCAAGCTYGTTTTTTTTCTTTTGCTCTGTTATGAAATATCCAAATCCAAAGCCTGAGGCAGAGAGCTCCTCTGTTGTGTTCGCCGTATTTGTGAAGAAACTCTGAGATCAGACAAACGRTTTAAATGACCTTTGAAAAGATCACCGTCTCTCTGCTCGTCTGCGAGGAGGAGAGGAGGAAGTTTGTTTCAGGGAGGGATTAAAGTGGAATCCCAAACAGGGCACCCAAAACCTCCTTTCAGGGGTTTCTGCTCCATTTCCAGCAGTTTTTATTTGTTAGTGGAGGACTGAAGCAGGAGTGGGATGATGTGTAAAAAAAAACGTGTTTGCTCCTCGTTAACTCAACTTTTTTTTTCTTATTTTTCCTCCAGTTTCAGTATTTGAGAGCTGCTCTGCTGAGGATCTGCCAAGTCGTGCTCATCACGTGAGGCTCATTAAACATTCAGGCCTGGGAGGGCCCACGGAGCCTGCCAGCATCCAAACCCTTAAGGTCAGTCAACTGGCTTTGACATTTTCTCATCGCTTTCAAGTTTGAGTAAATACATTTTCTAGCAATCTGAATGCAAAATAAAAGGCCTAAAACTAGTACTCAACGTGTAAATATCATTCGTCATTCTTACTAAGAATAAAATAAAAATGTGTGCCAAAGATCTGWTAAAGTGTTTGATGGAGATGAGGCTCAGCCAAATATTTAAACTGAATGTTCAGATCATGTGGATGAGTCCCAGCTTCAGTCAGTAAATAGATTAGTTTTTATAAGTTTTACTAAGATCAAAAAGAAAAAATAAGTAGATCCTCTGGATGGGTTCTTCTTTAGTGAAACGTTTCATCTCTCCTCCAAGAGACTTCTTC